TTGATCAGTGAACAGGCAGTGCCAAATCATTCCCTTCACTCCTCAAACGTAAAGAGAACTCAGACTGTCAAACAGGTTCTGAAACCTGTGCCCTGCTGCTGTCTGCCGATGGATTATCTCTGCCAAGCCATGACATTGATTTAATTTGGATTGTTTGCTATCTTTGGCTCCACTGTCCCCTCGAATCTGGAGAGGGAACAGCGCCTGAAGAAATGAACTGTGAAAGTTCTGCCCTAATGCTGGGAAAATGCTCCGAGCTGCTGGAATCACATCTGACAGCTCCTGGGATTCTGGGGGTATCTGAAGCATCTGGGGGCTGCTGCTGTGCATGAGCTCAGAGCTGAAGTCCCGGTGAAGGTGGTGCTCTGTTTGCAACAATTCATGGCTGGGAGTCTTGAGGGGCTGTGGCTGACATGGGAATTGTGAAAGGGAAGGCACAAATAGATATTAATCTCTAATTAATGCCTTATAAATACAGAATATCTATATGAATTAACCCCGAGAAAGGCCTTTTTTCCAGCTTTTCAAATACTGTTCAAATGGGCAGGGAACCAATATGTGGTGGAATAAATATTCATCAAGCTGTGGCTCTCACAGCAGAGACTGGACACAAATTGTTACCCACAAGGCTGGGGATGGCAAGGCTGTGATCCCAGGAGGAGCTGAGAGCTGCTGCTCCCAGTTTTTTGGGACGGGTGCCCTCCTGTGATGCACTGGGACTACAAGGATGTGCACACCTGCCTTTAATTCAGAGGCCAAAACCCAGATAAATTCAAGTTCTGTACCAGAAAGAATTGATAGAATTTATCCAACAGCTGATTTTCCCACTGACTGGAGTTTGAATTGAAATATTGCACCGAGGAGGGAAAAGTTGAGGCAAGCATGAGCCTCAACTGGAACTGTGGAATTGGGAAGAGGAATGTGTGAACCTCTCCTTGTCCCAGACTGTTTTTGGTATTTCTTGCCTGTGAAATTTGTGTCACCTGCCTGGGGACAGTGCTGGGGTCTCCAGAAAACAACACGTGCAGGGATCAGGTGTCACCCAGCCCAAAGCACAGGGCTGTGCCTGCTCAGGGGACAGCAGCTGCTGGCAGGGAGGGCACTGAAATGAGAATTTGCTCAACACGAGTCGCTTGCAGCAGGTTCTCAAATTGTAATAGAACTCATCTGATTTAATGTGCAAAGAGCAAAGTGTGGCTGAAGTCCCTGTCTGAGATCCAGCTCCAAAAATAACACGTGTTCTTGTAGAAAAAGGTTAGAATGTGAAAGTAAATGTGGATAAATGTGTCAGCTTTTCATTTAAAAATCACAAAATTACTGCAGAATTTTCACAAAAACATTCCCCAACCACCACCACCAACAAAAACCCCAAACAAACAAACAAAAACCAGAAAAAAAACCCACAAAAAAAAACAAATAAAAAACCAAAAACCAGAAAAAAACCAAACAAAACCCAAACCAACAAACCCCTAACAAATAACCAAACACAACAAACCAACAAACAACTCTCAGCACGGTTTTGAACTTTGGAAAATCAGAATTTTGACTGAGCAGGGTCATGCCTGAGTTGCAGGTTCCTCATGCAGGAGCTGCCACTCTCAGCTGTGTGCACAGGGAGGGAAATAATTTGAAAATGATGTTGAGCTATGGGAGAAAGGGGAATTCTGCTTGAGTTCTTCCCAGGCTGGGAGTGCTCCACTCTCCCTGCCTGGCCTGGCAGAGCCCCTGCAGCCAGATGTGGTCTGAGTGACTCGGTTCAACTTCTGAAGAAGCTGTAATGTATTTCCTGTGCTCGAAAATAACTGCTTTTAATTAATAAAATTGGTTTTTTACCATGTACTCTCAGTGCCAGCTCCTACTCTGTATTCATCTCCCATTCTGCTGTCCCTTAAACCCATGGGAAAGCCCTTATGGAAAGGACTGCCAAAGAATCTGGGCTCATGTTCTTCCTTCAGGGAAGGGATTTTAATATTTTTACAGGATTTTTCTTTCCTAATTGCTTCATTTGCAAGCCCTTTTCTGAGGGCCCTGGAGCACCCAGAATATCTGAGGAGGAGAAAGGCTGTTGATCAACCTGGAGCATCGACAGCCATTTGTTTTTGGAATAAACCCATCATTAGATGGATCATTAAACTGCAGGAATAGCCACGAATGGAGGCTCGGGAGAGGGTGCTGCCGTGGCTGGGACAGAAATAGTCCCTGCTCAGGCTGGAATCTCTCACTCTGGGTCAGGTGTTGGAGCTGGCTCCATGGCAGAGCTTCTCTCTATTCCCAGAGCATCAGGCAGGTGCTCGGCATCCTCTCTCGGGATAAAAATGCGCCGGGAATGCAAATGAGGGTTGGGCATTAATCCCTGGAGTGCTTGGAGTTAAAGGGGCAGTGCTGGTGACTCCCGGGGTACAGGGAATTATTTCATGTGTAAAGGAGGCGGGAAAAGGAATTTTCTCCAAGGGAGCTCTGCTGGAGTTCAGCGGGGATCAGGGTGAAAAATCAGCCTGGTGACAGCACCAGCTTTTCCTTGGGTAACAAAGTGGTTACCAAAGCTGCTCTGGGCCACAGCAGCGTGGATGAGTCTCTTGTGGATTAATTAGACAATTGCTGTGGGCATTCTGGGGGTTTGCAATGCCCACCGTGCTGGAGGATCACGCCAGAGCGCGAGCTGTGACCCTCATTTGTACTTGTTGCTGCAATTAAATGAGGCTCTTGTGCCGCTGATGAAAGATTCCACGGGAGATCAAACTCATTAATGCACGGAACAAACCTTCATGTCAACCTCCAGAGGGCTGCTCCTGCAGGGAGGGGGCTCTGTGAACATTCACATTCTCTTGGATAAAATTCAGGAGTGAGGCTGCTGTGGGGGTTTGGTTGCCAGAGCCCTGGGAAAAGGTGAAATGTAATTTTTGGCATTGTGAGGTAGCCAGGAATGCTTCAGAGTGTGTGGTGACAAGGTGGAAATCGTGGCAAGGTGTGGGAGAAAAGGGATCAGAGAAGATGCAAAGCTACCCATTCAGACAAAATGGCAATATTTGGAATACTGGCATTTTGTCTGAACTGTAGATTTTTTGTTTCTTGGACTTAAAAAGAAAACAAGAAACCACATTTATGTGAGTTTCCCTTTTTAAGTGGGTGCTTGTGGAAGGCATTCTGTTTGTGTGTGTGCACCTGGTGCATGGATACCAAGGTGACAGATTCTCCAGAAATTCATCTGAAGAGCTGTCAAGCTATTAACTTACAGAATAAGCAGAGCAAAAAGGACAGTGAAGAAATTAAATATAGCACTTGAGTATTTAAACTGCTCTGTCATTTGATTGAAATGTTTCCTTCCCCTTGTTCCTGCTGCTATAAATCTTCCTTTCCTGACACATTGGCTCTGTCCTAGATGGCAGTTTCTGATGTTCAGAGTTCCTGTGAAGTTTATTTTCAAACAAAAACGAGGCAGTCCGTGCAAGAATAACTATTTTGATTTGGGTTGACAAATATTTTCTAACCTGAAGCTAATATTTTTAAAGGTTCAGGCTGTTGAACAATGAAAACTGAAGCTGTGTCAGGTTGATTTAGAGATGTTTTTGTGGGTTTGTTTTGGTTTTTGTTTTGTTTTGTTTTGTTTTGTTTTGTTTTTTTTTTTGAGAGAGAGCACGGCTTGAAATTTACGCAGCTGAGTTTTAGTCACTGCCTTAGAGGATTTTAATTTTATATTCTATTTTTTAAACATGAAAATAGGGCCTCATGCAGGATCAGTCAGCGAAATTCAGAGGACACTGATGGAGAATCTGTCACAACATTTTTCCTGATTTGATTTCGTCACCAGAATTTTGCAAGCCGTGTCCTGTGGCTGCTGCTCGGGGTGTCTGACCCTCGCTGCAGCTCCCGGGGGTGTGGGTGCCTGGGAATTTCCCCTTTGTCCCGCTGTGAAATCTGTTCTGCACGTGTGGCTGTCCCTGTGTGGTGTCTGTGGGTTCCTGCACCTCGCCCCCTCCATCCCCCACGGGCATTTTGGAAGCAGCATCGCCCCAGAGAACTCTTTTAAATCAGCTTTCACTCGCGTGAAACTGAGCTAAAAGCCCAGACCAGTTCTGCTGCCACCTGCTGCTGCTGCTGCTTTTTTGGCTGCTCCTCAATCCCCCTCCTCCTTTGGCTTCTCTGCGAGCAGAGAACAACAACAACAAAAAAAAGAAAAAAGCCAAAAAAACCCAAAAAACAACCCACCAAAAAAGAAGAAATTTAAAAAAAATTTAAAAAATAAAGAAAAACAGAAAGAGAAATTATTGAATGATTGTGAAAGGAGGCTGGAAGTCCAAGCTCGCTCGCTGCCTCCCTCCCGGGCTGGGCTGGCTGAGCAGGAAGGTGGCACAAAAGGGACAAAAGGGACAGCCCAGCCCAGCCGGCTCCTCCGGGAGGCTCTTCCCTCTCCTCGGCCCTTTCCTTGCCCGCCGGGTTTGCGGCAGCAGCGCTCTCGGTAACACAAACCCTCTCTCGGGATTAGGAGCGCGGTTACACTTGCGGCAGCTGCCCGTGCGCGTCTCACCCGCTACAGAAACAGCGCAAGCTGCTCCTGCTACTCTTTCTCCTGATTTTTATCGAGCCTTGTTCCTCCCCTCCCTCTGTTTCTCTCTCTGCCCTCCCCACAGCTCCACGCCGCTCCTCTCCATGCTTGCCTCGTCTCTCGAGAAGAACCGCAGCCGAGTTTGCCTAGAGCAGCCCCGGGAGACTTTTCCTTTCCTGAGCCAGCAGAAGGCAAAGGGGGGCTGGGGAGGGCAGCTGAAAGCCGGCCAAGCCCTGTGGCAGTGCTAAACCTGCTCTGAGAGAGAGCGGGCAGGGGAGGGACCTTTTGTAGAGGAGAGAAGGAGAAAAGAAACTTGAAACTGGCTTCCCTTGTGACACGAGTGTGTCGCGGCCATCCCCTCCCACCGCGCCGGTTGTTCAATGAGAGCACGTGAAGAACATGAGGTTTCCTGCTTGAGAGGGAGGGCAGCGCCGGGGAGAGAGGGAGGAGGAAGGAGGAAGGCGAGTTGTGGCTTTGCGGTGTGGTTTACGCCGAGATCAGAGCTACGAGTGCCTGGGGGTGGGAGCAGAAGGAGAAAGGGCGTCTGATGCCAGCTGCCAACATGACAGAAACCCTGCAGCTCCCGGCGCTGCGGGTCCCCGAGCAGCAGGTGCTGGAGGGCGGCTGCGCCTGGTCCAGCTCGTCCACCCCGACCCTGCGCAGGAAGCGCTTCAAGATGAGGCGGATGAAGAACGTGCAGGAGCAGAGCCTGGAGGCCGGCAGGTACCAGGAGTCTCCTTCCTCCAGCAAGGAATACCTGCAGCTCCCATCCATTGAGATCACCCCCTCCAGTGACGAGGACACCCCCTGGTCCAACTGCTCCACTCCCAGTGCCTCCCCGCGCCGCAAGCGCTTCCTCCTTCGGAAGTGGCTGCGCGTCCGAGAGAAGAAGGAGTGCAGTGAGAGCAGGTAGGTCCTCTGGCCGCTCCCTTCCCTGCTCCCTGCCCAAAATAGGCTGGAAGGGTCTGTTGTTCCCCTGGATGTGCCTCTTCCCGGATTTTGTCCTCGCCTGTTGGCTGGAATGTGGCGTGGTGTTGGTTGGATGTGCTGGTGCCAGAGGAAAAGGCCTGGGAGCTGTTTGGGAATGGCAGGGCAAGGCTCTGTCCTCGCTCGTGGTCCTCCAGGTGACACTGAGCCAGTGGGTGAGAAGATTTAACCTCACTGAGGTGTCCTGAGGAGACCTGAGAGAGAGGAGTGACCTCTCTGCTGGCACTGCCTGCGTGGGAGTGACGATGCCAAACCCTGCCAGTGTTTTTGGGTGATGCTCATTCCCACCACTGAGACTTCCCTTGAGATCCTTAGTACTGGGACAAAGAGGGGACAAGAGAGAGACACCAAGCAGCCCAGTGGGTCTGTGTGTCAAGGTGGCTGGGCTCAGTCCTTGGCAGCTTTCCAGACCTGAAAGTCACACAGTCCTTTGGCTGGAAAGGGCACAAATCATTCCCAAAGGCCTCCAAGAGCCTGTCAACACAGGGAATTCATGCCCAGGCATTGTATTGTGTGGCCACAGGAGATAAAGCTGCACCTTATGTAACCCTCTGCAGGGCACCCCACATGCAGGGCAATTAACTCTTCCTTTAACAATCTACATGCAGCAGAATTAACTCTAACAATCTACATGCAGTGCAATTAACTGTCCCTTTAACACTCTACATGCGGCAGAATTAACTCTTCCTTTAACAATGTACATGCAGGGGAATTAACTCTTCCTTTAACAATCCACCTTTCCTGAAGGCCCAAACACACAAGACACTTTAAAGATTTCTCCAAGAAATTGATATAAGTTTATAAATCCTAAGTCTGGTTTAGTGCAGGCCAAGTTTTCTTCCTCTGTTTGCAGCTCCTGTGCAGCTGATCTGTGGGGTTGTGTTTAAAGGATGTGCTGCACTTCCAGAAAAAGAGAAACCTTTAACATTTCTGTGCCCACCAAACCACACTGACTCACTGCCTGCTGTGGTGCTTGAGTGTTTACAGGGCAGAGCTTTGAATATCCACCCTGATTATCTGATAATTTTCCTTTCACCAGGTCCCTTTAGCAAGGTCAGTCTGTCAGCTTATTAATTTTTAAAGAACTTTCATCAATGAATGCATGCCATTGAGGATCTGATAATCCCTCTCAGCAAGTTAACATTGAAAAACATCTCTTGGTTTAGGAAATATTTCTGATTTAGAAAATATTTCTGATTTGGGAAATATTTCTGATTTTCACGTAGCAGTGGTGGTGCAAGCAGGGATTCAGGCACAGCACGCAGAATGGGAAAGATAACACATGAGGCACGTGCTGAAGTGTCAGAATATTAGAGTTATGCTCAGAAGTTCACAGGATAAAGGATCCAGTCCTTCAGCTGAGGATTTAATTTGGATTTATTGATGGTGAGTGAGTTTCAGGCAGGCCAAGACACGTTGCTTTTGGTGTGAGGGTGGAAGAAAGAGCTACATTTCCTTATACATTTGCTGTTTACATACGTTGCCACGCTGACAACTTCCTGCTCATTCATCCCCAAGGGATTTTTTGGCGATGTTTCGGAAGCAGTGACTGGAAGGAAGGTGAAGTGGTGGACATTAGCACACCAAAGCCAGCCTGGCACCTCCTTTCTTCAGTGCAGCAGGATCCAGATCCACCCCTCCTGCCCCGGGAAACACGGTGCTCTCAGCTGGCATTTTTCCAGGGATCATCCCTGGCCTCTCCCACCGCAGCAGCAAACAGCCCCAAGGAGCATGTGAAAAACGCCAACCGCTTGGTTTTAGAATTTGAAAAGTTTAATAGTAATAAAATGGTTATAAAGATAGTAATAAAATCAGAGTAATGAAAAATTGGACAATTAGGATTAGGACAGTAGGAGACAATAAGAACAAAGAGTTAGGGACAGTCCAGGTATCTCTTCCTGGGCAACATAAGCCACCCGTTAACAGAGGATTAACCCTTAAAAGCAACAGCCTGTTGCATATTCATACATCTCATAGATGATGCATAAATTCCATTCAAACACAGGATTCTGTCTGGTCAGTGTCAGCTTCTTCCTCTGAATCCTGACAGCTTTTCAGGGCTGAGGGAGGCAAGAAGAAGTTAGTTTCTTTTGGTAATGGAGCAATAAATTCTTTTTCTCTGAAAGATTTAGGTGTCCTGTGGCTGCTGTCTTGGTGTGCATACCTCCTTCCTCTCTTTAAAAAAAGTATCTTACATAGCACAGTTTCTATTTTAACATTATGTTATAAGCTAAAACTATATTTAACACACTACTTAAGAAAACTAATACAGCTTAACTTTCTAACGTAACACATCTAATATTCATTTGAATACTTGCGAAAAGCCAATCATAAAATACACATTTTTCACAAGCAGAACCTGTGGGGAGCTGGCCATGGAAAGGGTGAGAAACCCTGAGGGGTTTCTGGCATTCATTTGACAGAGATGTGGGGTAAACTTTGCTGTGCCCCCAGTGAAATGTAACTTTTGCAGGGCAAGAAGCTGTTTTGCTATAAACCAGAAATTGCCTGTTTGCTGCTCCTGCTGTGGCAGGGTCAGAGAGAGCCCCTGCTCTGTCCTCTGCTCTGCTGTGCTGTTGGTGACACATCTCCCAGTGTCACCTCTGTGCTGTGTGATGTTTGAGGGCAGCAGGGACAGCTGTGCTGAGGGATGTTGTGCAGCAGATCACTCACCAGGCTTTCATTTCTTCCATTCCATTGGTGGTCTGTCACTCTAGGACACAAAATAACCAACACGGACATTGGGATCGCCAAGGTGAAAAGGAGGCAGTTGAATTTCTGACTCCAGCATTTACAGATTTTCAAAAGTGACAGTGGATTGGAGGGTGACAGTGCCACCTCTCCAAAGCCACTGGACAAGCCAACAGTCCAGCAAATTTCTCCTCTTCCAGAAAAGAATGCAAAACAATAATTAATTAGAGAAAAGCGCACGAGAAAGTTCGTTACAGGAATGTAAACATCAGAAGGTTTAGAAGAACTTAAAAAACCAGGGCAGCAGTGGTCAGTGACAGTGTCCCAGGGATCCCCAGCGTGTGCCACCCTGTGCTGGGAGTGCAGGTACCCCTGCATGAGGTGTGCAAATCCCCAAATTTACCTGCTGAAAGCAGCAGGCTGTGGCCCCTGCTGGAGAAACAAACAGAAATAAACACAGTTTGCTGCCAATCACTCCACTTCTCTGCTGGAATCTCATTTTTTGGGTACCTTTTATCCCGTCCCACGGGCAGTAGCTGGGTGGTGGCAGGGTTTTCCCAGGAGAGCTGTCAGGGAGCAGGCTGTGCCCCAGCTGAGCTGCTCCTCGCTCTGCTCTCAGGGCCCCGAGCAAGAATTCTGTGGCCATCAGCATCCAAGTGAATAAACAAACGCTGTCTCTAATGCTCCAGGTCTGCTTTTCCCACCCGGAAACTCCCACGTGCTGGTTAGTTTTTAACAGCCTGGGTAATTGTGAGCTTTGATTACCTGCTGGCTCTCTCAAAGCTGACAGAGCAGGAGGGACGATGTTCTTTTCCTTCCATCAAACCCCAGGGATGGTTGGGAGAGCCTTTCCTGCCCCTGACACTCTGTGTTCAGTGTGAGGAAGGCAATTCCTGGGGGTAGGACTGTCCCTGAAATTGTCCTTGTTCAAAGAATGATGGCCCAAAGCTCAAGGTTGCTGTACATATGATAAATGGGATGGTTTTTTATGAGGGATGCAGACAGCTCCTCCTCTACCCCTCAGCCACCATTTGCCAGCCAGGTAATTAAGTTATTTACCTTTATAAACTGAACTCTGCACACAATTTTTTATTTAAATTTTTTATCAAGACATGCTGATGTTTCTTCAATCTGGTGGCATTTTGCTGTGCATGCAACCTGCATGCATCATTGATGTGGGCATAAGGCAGTTGACCAGCTTTAATTTATTATTTACCTCTCCAAGCCAGCCTCGCTTGTAATTTCAGGACCTGCACGTGATTTTGGGGCAAGAATTGCTGAGTAGATCATTCAGGCTTAATTTAAGGACAGCTCTCCCTTTGGCCTAAGATCAGGACTGCTTAAGGATGAAATGTTGGTGCTGCTAAAAGTGCAAAACTTGTGGATTTTGCTGGAGCAGTTCATGCAGCAGCTCTTGACACTTCTGTAGATGAATTTACTCAGGCTGGTTTTCTGCTGGAAACTCTGACACTCACTGTGGATTCACCCAAAAGGAAAGACTTGTCTGAGTCCTAAAATGCCTCTAACACATGAAAAATGAAGTGTATTATGAGAAGAATTCCGTCCCAGCTCAGAAAAGTGTCTGTGCTGAGGAGCTGGAGGTTTCTTGAGCTGCCAGCTACGCAAATGTGGAGGTTTTTCAGATGAAATCCTGATAACTTATCTCAAAGTGTGGAACAAATGAGGGGAGGCTCCAGCACTGCTCAGCTCTGGGCTCTGAGGCTGCTTCCCTTCATGTTCTGAGGTAAAAAAAAATCTCCTTTTTTCCTTAAAAAACTTTCTCTCGATCGCTCTAGTGATATAAATTAGTTAACAGTTAATTGATTTGTTGGAACTTGAGCTAAAATTATTTACAAATTGGTGGCTTAGATATTTTGAATTGGCTTATAAAGGCAAATGAGCCTTTAATTTCAAGTAGCCCATCATGTTTTGCCTTCCTTAATTAAATTGAAATTCACTCTGAGCATTTCTGGGAATAAATTAATGGTCGTTCCGCTTTTTCTAGCTTCAACATGTGTGCAAAACCTTCTGGTATTTTCTAGAGGAAAAACCCTGAGTCTGAAATTCACTCTGAGCATACTGGGAATAAATTAATGGTCATTCCCCTTTTTCTAGCTTCAACATGTGTGCAAAACCTTCTGGTATTTTCTAGAGGAAAAACCCTGAGTGATGTGATTTTTCTTTTTTTTTCCCCTAAGAAACTGCTGATGGTGAAAAGTAAAAAACCAAAA